AAAGTCATGGAATCACACAATCACAAAATCGTGGAATCACGGAAATCGTGGAATCACAAATCATGGAATCACACAGTCACAAAATCACGGAATCACAGAAATCATGGAATCACACAGTCACAAAATCATGGAATCACACAATCACAAAATCATGGAATCACACAGTCACAAAATCATGGAATCACGGAAATCGTGGAATCACGGAAATCGTGGAATCACAAATCATGGAATCACACAGTCACAAAATCACAGAAATCATGGAATCACACAAATCATGGAATCACACAGTCACAAAATCACGGAAATCATGATGGAAATTGTGGAATCATGGAGATCATGGAATCGCACAATCACAAAATCATGGAATCAAATCCCTTCCTCAGAATAATCCCTGCCAAGGCTCACGGTCCTTTACAGGGAGAGCAGACCCCACTCACACCCTGGGACCCCCCCTCTAAATCCGGGAGGGGAAAGATGGCCCGGTCAGAGCTGCCGGACCGGATCCCCTGTTCTGAGGGGAAAGATGACCCAGTCAGAGCCACCGGACCGGATCCCCTGTTCTGAGGGGAAAGATGGCCCGGTCAGAGCCCCAGAACGAACCCCCCTGTCCTGAGGGAAACATCTCCCAGCCCAAAGCAGATCCCCCTTCCCACAGCCAGATCCCCGGCGGGAATTTTCCTTCCTAAAGTGAATACGGCACAGCCGGAACGCTGCGGAGCGGCTTCCCCTCCTTACAGAGAAGATTCCAGACCCCCCCGACCGCGCCTCCACACGAGACCCTCCGGCCCCCCTCCCCACAACCGGAGCGGTATCTCCGGAGAGGTCCCAGCACCACGGTCCCGGCGGCTCGAGCCGCCCCCGATGCTCAAAGGGTCCCCCCCCAGCAGAGGTCGGGACCCCCATCCCGCAGAGCCCTCCCCATCCCCGACCCAGCCATGACCGAACCTGGCGCGCCCGCCGCCGCCGGTTGCCCTCAGCACTTCCGGGTTCTTCCCCACACACCGAAGCACCGCCCAGCCTCGCTTCCGGCAGCCAATCAGAAACCGCCCCAACATCCGGGTACGTAGCACCCACACCCACTTCCGCCCTGCCGCTTCCGTTTCCTCCGCCGTACGCCATGACGTCACAGCTCGCGTCTTAAAGGGGCAGCGCCCGCGGAAAGGCCGCGCTCCGGCCCAGCCCAAACCCGGCCGTTTTCACCCCAAAACCGGGCGAGCCCCTCCCGACCCCCCGCGGAGTGCACGGGCCCCTCCGGGAAAATGACTGCTCCACACCCAGGCTGCAGTTTGCACAGCGTGGAAATTTACTTTAGCAAAAGTGGGTAAAAACGAGACACAAAAAAATCTGGTGTTTCAGGCCCAATCCCGTTTCTCGTTGAGGAAATCAACAAAAACCCGTTTTGTTGAAAGCCCTAGGGATGCCTGAGGATTTCTTTAGGATTATTGCAGCTCTGCTTGAGTCCATGTTTATTTTTATTCCCTGCATCCCCTCACGGGTCGGACTCTGCGCAGCACCGCGTTAAAAAAATTCCGTGTAAAAGCATCTGGGGGCAGTAAAAGAAATCAGATTTAAAAAATAGCCCTGTTCAGCTGCTCCACACCCAGTTCCTGGCTGAGCCACAGCTGTCCCCTCCAGCCCTGGGAGGGTTTTTGCTGGTGGAAATCTCTGGTGTTGTCAGGATATTTCCTGCTGTCGCGGTTTGTGTTTCCTGCGCCGGCGTTTCCTGGCAGGTGAGGGCTCCTGGGGCGGCCAGGGATGAGGGATCTGGGTGGGGAACAGCTCCTTGTGCTGCTTCTTGAGGGGTGGGGAAAGGCAAAAGTTCTTGGGGGGGAAAGTGCAGGGCTGTCTGTGCTCCGGGAAATTCTGCTCCAGGTGATTCTGCTCTGGGAAAGTCTGATCCAGGTGATTCTGATCCAGGTAACTCTGCTTCCTCTGCTCTGGGAAAGGCTGATCCAGGTGATTCTGCTCTGGGAAAGTCTGATCCAGGTGATTCTGATCCAGGTAATGCTGCTTCCTCTGATCCAGGTGATTCTGCTTCCTCTGATCCAGGTGATTCTGCTTCCTCTGATCCAGGTGACTCTGCTTCCTCTGCTCTGGGAAAGGCTGATCCAGGTGATTCTGCTCCAGGTAACTCTGCTGCCTCTGCTCCAGTTTCTTCTGCCCCAGATAATTCTGCTGCCTCTGTTCCAGATTCCTCTGCTCCAGCTTCTTCTGCTTCCTCTGTTCCAGCTTCTTCTGCCCTTGTTCTAGATGATTCTGCTCCAGGAAACTCAGCTGCCTCTGCTCCAGGCAATTCTGCTCCAGAAAACTCTGCTGCCTCTGTTCCAGATTCTTCTGCCCTTGTTCCAGATGATTCCGCTGCTTCTGCTCCAGCTTCTTCTGCTGCCTCTGCTCCAGATGATCCTGCCCTTGTTCCAGATGATTCTGCTCCAGCTGCTCCAGCTTTTTCTGTCTCTTCTCCAGCTTCTTCTGCTGTCTCTTCTCCAGCTTTTTCTGCTGTTTCTTCTCCAGCCTCCTCTGCTTCTTCTGCTCCAGCTTCTCCAGCTGTTTCTGCTCCAGCTGTTTCTGCTCCAGCTGCTCCAGCTGTTGCTGCTCCAGCTGTTTCTGCTCCAGCTGCCCCTGCCCCAGGGCCCCATGCCTGTGGCCCGGCTCCTGGGGCTGTCCCTGAGCCGTGGGGCCAGGCTGCTGCTTCTTCCTGGAGCTGCCGGGACTCCTGCAAGGAAACTGGGGAGTCAGCACCCGAAAAAGAGCTGGTGGGGAACTCCCTCCTGGAAATTTCCCTGGAAATTCCTGGATTTCCCTGTAAATTCCTGGATTTCCCTGTAAATACCTGGATTTCCCTGGAAATTCCTGTGTTTCCCTGGGAACTCCTGGGTTTCCCTGGGAACTCCTGGGTTTCCCTGGAAACTCCTGTGTTTCCCTGGGAACTCCTGTGTTTCCCTGTAAATTCCTGTGTTTCCATGGAAACTCCTGGATTTCCCTGGAAACTCCTGGGTTTCCCTGTAAATTCCTGGATTTCCCTGTAAATTTCTGAATTTCCCCGTAAACTCCTGGGTTTCCCCGTAAACTCTTGGATTTCCCTGTAAACTCCCGTGTTTCCCTGGGAACTCCCGGATTTCCCTGGGAACTCCTGTGTTTCCCTGGGAACTCCTGGATTTCCCTGGGAACTCCTGGATTTCCCTGGGAACTCCTGTGTTTCCCTGGAAACTCCTGGATTTCCCTGGGAACTCCTGTGTTTCCCTGGGAACTCCTGGATTTCCCTGGAAACTCCTGGATTTCCCTGGGAACTCCTGTGTTTCCCTGGAAACTCCTGTGTTTCCCTGTAAATTCCTGTGTTTCCCTGGGAACTCCTGTGTTTCCCTGGGAACTCCTGGGTTTCCCTGGGAACTCCTGTGTTTCCCTGGGAACTCCTGGATTTCCCTGGGAACTCCTGGATTTCCCTGGGAATTCCCGGATTTCCCTGACGATTCCAGCTGAGGAACATTCCAGCCCCTCTGGGATCCTGCTCCCACCCTGCCAGGATGTCATCCCATCCCTACAAGAGCTTCACCGCTGGTGTTTTGGCTCTCCTTTCCCAGAGTTTTGGTTTTTTTTTCCCCCACAGCTGGCTGAGCTGCAGCTTGTAAAAATCCATCTGGAATTTTCCAGGAGAAGGGGAAAACACCTACCTGGGCACTGCCAGGGGTGGCTGCTGCTTCACCAGCTGCTTCTGGGGCCTGCCTGGGGCGCCGCCTTTTCTCCTGGAGAGGTCTGAGCCCAAATTCTTCAGCTCACAGCTGCTTTTGAAGGGAATTTTAAGGAGAAATCCAGATGTTTTCACTGGAAAAACTGAGTTTTTCGCTCACTGGGTGGTCACATCAGCTCTTTCACAACGGATCCCTGCCCTTCCCATCCCTGCTTGCCCACAAAAGGGGGGTCTGGGTGTTTTTCCAGCCAGTTCCAATCCCAGAATGGTTTGGAAAGGACATTAAACCCCACCCAATCCCACGGGCAGGGACACCTTCCCCTATCCCAGGCTGCTCCAACCTGACCTGGGACGCTTCCAGGGATGGAGCAGCCACAGATTTTCTGGGAATTCCATCCCAGCCCATCACCAGCCTCCCAGGGAGGGATTTCTCCCGACATCCCGCCCAACCCTGCCCTCTGTGAGCTTTAAACCATTTTAAAATACTTTAAACCGTTTTCCCCTTGCCCTGGCTCTCCCTGCATGCTCCCCCAGCTCCCACCTCCCCTCCTGGAGCTGCCCTGAGGTTCATCACCTCCTCCAGGAGCTCTCCTCCCTCCTGGAACGCCCAGACTCACTTTTTCAGGGCTCTCCTCTGCAGATCCTGGATGTAGTTTGGTCTCTCCATGGGATGCCCTCGAGACTTGTTGAACACTGGGGAGAGACAGAGTGACCCCAACACGAGTCAGCCTTGGGGCTGCTGAGCAGTTGAGACCCCCCAGAAGGGTTTGAGAACCCCCAGAAGGGTTTGAGAACCCCCAGAAGGGTTTGAGAACCCCCAGAAGGGTTTGAACCCCTCCAAAAGGATTTGAGACCCCCCCAGAAGGGTTTGAAACCCCTCCAGAAGGGTTTGAGACCCTCCAGAAGGGTTTGAGACCCACCCAGAAGGGTTTGAAACCCACCCAGAAGGGTTTGAACCCCTCCAAAAGGATTTGAGACCCACCCAGAAGGGTTTGAGACCCCTCCAGAAGGGTTTGAGACCCATCCAGAAGGGTTTGAACCCCCTCCAGAAGGGTTTGAGACCCCTCCAGAAGGGTTTGAACCCCTCCAGAAGGGTTTGAACCCCTCCAGAAGGGTTTGAACCCCTCCAGAAGGGTTTGAGACCCTCCAAAAGGATTTGAAACCCCTCCAGAAGGGTTTGAGACCCTTCACCAAGCACAGCTCCCCCCCTGGAGCCACCCCAAAGCTCCCTGAGCATTCCCCACCCCAGCAGGACACTCACACTCTATGGCAGCATTTGGCTCCATGCCTTCAACATCAATCAGGTACCTGCACACAGCAGCGAGAAATCCCTAATTACACAATTAATTATGAAAACACCCACGGGTTGGTGATGATTTAAACAGGAAAAAGTTAAAAAAAAAAAAAAAAAAAAG